TGGAGTCTGACGGGGAAAGGTCACCACCAGCGGGGGGGAGGTTTCCAGGAGGGGGAGTGAGGAAACGTGGGCTCTCCCAAGAACTCGGACTACAACGCCCATTAGCCACGGCGGGCGGGAGCGAGGGTGGGCCTCGTGGGCGTCGGGGCTGGAGGGCCGAGGGTTCCTTTCCCTTCGCCTTGAGGGAAAGTTCGGCTAAGAAGGGGAGAGGGCGCCCCCGTCCAGCCGGGACCCTCTCACGGTCAGGGCTCGGGGCCCGCTTTAGAATAGATCACCTGCTGAGGCGGGAGGGAGGGGAGGGTTAGGGGACCCCTTCCTTTTGCAGGGGTTACTTGGCTGGAGGGAGGGGTCTGAAAGGGTCTTGGCAGCCCCCAGAACTCTCCTGCGTGTGCCAAAAACGGACTGCACAGAAAAATAAAATCCAAATTAATGTTCCTGAAACGCTGTGGAAGCAAGACACTACATTTTATATAATCTATCTATCTATCTATCTATCTATCTATCTATCTATCTATCTATCTATCTATCTATCTATCTATCTATCTATCTATCTATCTATCTATCTATCTATCAAGATCTGGTGGGGCAAGTTACAGAGATGTACAAAACTTTTTCAAAACACAAAATCTTTAAACAATTTTAAATCAAGTAGTTTTAAAACACACAGAATTAAAATATTAACTACTGTATATTAAAACCTGTGCAGACCGAGGTCCTCAACCTCCAAGGGATCTAATAAACACCCATATATTTTGACCTTATGCCAGAAAGATGCCAAGTTTGGTGCCAGTCAAGCCTCCAAATTTGGGGGGGGGGATTCACAGTCAGGGTCATGGAGCCGAGAAAGCCCTCATCAAACACAGAAAGAGAGAACACCCACAATTTCCCTGCCCCTCCTTTCAGAATGCCATGGCTCTATCTTTGCTCACACGTTTCTCGGCTGCTTCTGTAACCCCAAGAGGATTCCGAAGGTACAAAAATTGTCCCCCCCCATACCCCAGGTTTGCTGAAGTTGCCCATTTCTGGGCTAGAGTTTCGGACTTAAAACCCAAGGTCCAAACCTCACTTGGTGAAGGGAGAAGGTCAATGGGGTGGCCTTGAGCTACTTTAGGCTGGCCTACTTTATGGAGTTTTTGCCAAGATAATTTGGCAACCAAGCTGCCTTGCCACAACAATGGATCATTGGTCCATCTAGATCAGTGTTCCCTACTCTGGCGGGCAGCAGCAGATTGCCAGGCATGGGTGCCTCCCACCCCTATCCTGGAGTGGCCCTCGGAGTTCATGCTGTTGCACGTGGGAAGAATCCAAACCTTTTTAGTGTGCTAAACTAGCAGATTTGAACAGAATGAAGGTAGATCAGTTCTTCCAGTCACTGGGCCAGCTATCTCAAGGGTCGCATCTCCCTTGATGGGCTTGCCTGGGTGTTACGATCCTCAGGGGTCCCACCCGCCGCACAGGGACGCTTGGGGAGAAGGCCTTTCCTGTGGTTGCCCTCAGACTCTGGAACTCCCTCCCACTGGAGGCCTGGCTGGTCCCATCTCGGCTCTCCTTCTGCAAGCAGGGGAAGAACTTTCTCTTCAGGCAGCCTTTCCCTTAATGGCTGGCTGCCTAAATGGGTTTTTAAAAATTAATTGTTGTGCCTTGTTGCTTTTAAATGTGTTTTAATATCAATCTTATTTACTGTTTTAATATAATATTTATTTAATTCTTTTACAATATTTGTATCCTTTTTTGTTTGGCTTTTAAATGTTCTCTTTGATGGTGCAAGTAAGCGACTTGGGTCCTTTAAAAGGAGAAAGGGATGTGTTAAAATGTTTAAATAAATAAATATTATTGTCACTGACTGGCAGCAGGTGACTCTTCAGGATTTTGGACAAGGTTTTTCTCTAGGGCTTTATTGGGGTTTTGGAGCTCTGCCTGGCCATAAAGCTAACAGCTACGGACTGTTTGCATGCAAAGCAGGTTGGACTCTGCCGCTACGTTCTGTTTGATCTTGGCGGGTTCTTCTGTTCCGCAGCCCTTATTAGCAACTTGTGCAGAACTTGAGAAGATTCATTTTTGGGGGGTCACAGCACCTGAAATCTCCTGGACTGGGGGAGTTGGAAAGTGGCAGTCAAAATTAATCTTCCCAAGCCCTCTCGTTGGAAACCACGGAGCAGGGAGTTGGACTGGATGGCTTTATAGGCCCCTTCCAGTGATTCTGTGAATCTATGATTCAATCAGTCACTCTCTCTCTATCCTGCCACCTCACAGGGTTGTTGTGAGGACTCTCTCTTATGTATGAACACCGCTACCCGTCTATTGTTTGGATAAGCCAGTTGCTGTTGGACTGCAACTCCCAGAAGTCCCAGAATTGCCCGTGTCTGTGTGTGTGTGTGTGTGTGTGTCTGTGTGTGTGGACTTTCCCAACATTTTAATTGTTTTGTCTTTTTATTTTATTTTAAATTTTGTAAGCCGCCCAGAGACCTTTGGGTAATATGGGTGGCATAAAAGTTAAATAAATAAATAAACATCAGGGTCTTTTCCAGTGAGTCTTCTCTTCTCATGAGATGGCCAAAGTATTGGAGCCTCATCAATTCTTAGGCATTCTGTTGCCATGGAAACACACAGCTTCAAAGATGCCAGTGGTGGGAAAACAACTGTCTCTTACCTGCCACCTTCTAGGGAGTGTGGTCTCCAGCTTTTGCCAAGAAAGAGTGAGCTCAGTGAATTCAGTGAACTCAGAAAGGCAGCAAGAAAACTCAGGTTGGTGAGTGTGCTCAGCTTTTCAATCTGCCAGGTTGTTGGGTTTTTTTTGTTTTTTTCAGTTTGGGCACTTGGGCTCATCCATCACTAGTGTAGGCAGTGCAACAGTGACCAGTAAGGGTGATGCATAATATATTATTGGCATGTAAATGTTGCCTAATTACTAAATAAATATGTGTTCCTTTCTAATGTTTAAAATATTGATTTATAAATTTTGGGTTAGAAAATTGGGGGGGATTGTTTTATACATAGTGGCTTCTTATACGCAGAAAAATACGGTAGATGTGAAAAAGCATTGGGGGAAACAGGCCACTCTCTGTGGAACCTATAACGGAGGACTCAAGGGGCCACCCAAAGTAGTGCCATCGTTGTAAATTGGTAAACAAAGCTTTAGGAAGAACTTTGGATGAAGAAAGTAATATGGGGAGCAAGATGGCCAGATCTTGCTTCCATATTCACATAATTTCTTGCCTTAATGTTTTGTACTTTGTAATTTTTATACTCTATTTTTGGGGTTGCTTGTTCATCATAGCTGTATAAGTTGCATTCAGCTTTTGCCTTTCCCAGTTCTTCTAGATCTTGACAGTCATTAATATTAAAGAACAGGCTCTTCATTATCTGCCTTCTTCTATTACTTGTGCCCTACTGTTTTCTGATGTATTCCTTGTCCTTGTGTCTTTGCTGTTATTGTTGTTATTCCCGCAAAACACCAAATGTTGCCTCAGTTAAGGTCCTTGATATTGGGTCATTCTCAAGGATTTAGAATATTAAAAGGGATTTCCTTAAAATCTGTGTTGTACAGCAGTCTTCTGCAGCGGGTGTATTGTGATTTCGTTGCTGTTACTCTTATTCATATTCTTTTTCTCAACAGCACCTGAAGTCCCTCGAAGTGGAACAAGATGGCACCAAAGGGAAAAAAGCCAAAAGGCAAGAAAGGCAAGGCCAAAAATGCAGCTAAAGGACTAATAAGTACTTTGCCCTATGTCAGTGAGAAAGAAAAGTACCTGCAAAAAGAATATGCCATCCTAACAGAGCATGTCAGAACATATACAGAGCGTGTGCAGCATTTCCAATGGGAAAATAATTTCTTGGATAAGGAAGCCCAGCAAATCCGAGACACCAGCAAAGTCTACCTCTCCTACTTAACCCGGCGCACCATACGATGCCAGAATGCTATCATTTCTCTGAATGATCAGAATCGCGCAGATCTTGCAGAGATCAGAAAGCAGAAGGAAGAGCTAATTTCCCAATACACAGAAAAGGAGAAAGAAGTGAGGCATGAACTGATGGAAATGGAAACCCAGCTCTCCCTCATTAACAAGGAATGTGAAGCCTTACATCTCTGGCAGGAATTGCAAACAGAGCAGCTGAAACGGATCCGGGAGTTGGAGAAGGAGCTTTTGGTCATGAAAGTCCAGCACACAGAACACATGCACAAAGTGAAGAGCGAATTCCTCCAACTGACAGCAGAGTACGAGATGGAGTCTCAGCAGAAACTCCAATCTCTGGCCAAACTGGCCGAGAAGGAAGCAGTGCGCAGTCTAATACAGCATACTAAGCAGGTGAAGGCCGACAATCGGCGGCTAAACCACAACCTCCTAGGCCTCATCAAACAAGCCCAAGTGCTGAAGGCCTTCCTGTTTCAGCTGAGAGAACAGCAGCACCAGCTCCTCCAAGAGCATCAATACAGGCAAGATCTTGTTCGCACACGCAGCTGGCTAAGGCATGAAGGGGCTCGACCCATCATCACTCTTGGCAGTCCCTTCAGATGCAGCCCATCAGCTCGAAGTAGGCTGATCAGCCCTCAGGTCACAATTGCACAAATACCGGCTCAGAGCTGCCCAACAAGGGGTACCACCACCACAGATGCTCTGAAGGGCAAAAATTCTGACTCAGCTGCTCAGGTCTATGGTACCTCCTCCCTTGGGATAAGAAGGGAGAAGGAAGGCTGCTGTCACTGAGGCTTGGCTTTATTACTACCTACTGCACAAATAGGTATACAGTACAGTATATATGCATACGCCTGTGCATTTATCTGTTTGTATCTGTGCACTGCACTCCCATTATCCTGAACCAAAGGACTCCCATTATCCTGAACCAAAGGTTAAAAAATGCTTACAGTAACATCACTACATCTGCTACCTCTGTCAATCACCCACAGAGCCCATAGTGACCCAGTACGACCGAAGACACGTGGTGACCTTCCCCCAAAAAAGCCTTTAATGGGAAGTTGCAAACTAAGCTCAGCTTCCAGAATTATTTATAAATACTTCAGTAGAGAATGCCTTGACTGCATGCCTACAAAGTGCCTTTCACTTTTCAGTATTAACTCCACATTTTTTGTTTGCTTGTTTTGTGATAGTTACATTTCTTATTGTTGAGAGTTGCCCTAAGAATATATATATTGAGAGGTTATTATATACAGTAAATTTATGTGCTATGTGTCTGGCATCTCTTTCCTGGGAACTAGTTTGGGGAAAGTTTAAAAAAACAACTGGGTGGCAGAGGCTTTTGGCAGAATCATCTGTGCATGCTGCCTGAAAAGTCAGTTCCACTGTAAGACTGGACAAATGTTTTCCCCTAATGACTAACTGTATCTAGGACTGCAGCTGAGAAGGGCCCAGTGACCAATTCATCACGTTTGGACAACATGCCCCAACCTCATAGCATGTATGACTCTGTGCTCTTCAAAACCCCTATCATTAACAACTCTGCTCAGGTCTTTCAAAGCAAAAGATATGCCTTCCCATATTATTCAGTCCATAAAAATTGATATTCCTTTGAACTATACATTAAAAGCTGTAGGAAAGTGAAGTGAGGAGGAAAGCAGATATAAGATGCCCAAGTAGTGGAAACAATGAGCTGGCCTCCAGGCAGGGCTTCTGAAGGCCAGCTCATTGTTCTGTACATTCAAAACCATGACTCCTGTTTCCTTGCTCTTCAATGCCCAGGTAAGAGGTGTCCTGTAGCACCCGGAACAGCTATAGGCTAGCTTTCCCGGCGCAGAGCGATGCATGCCTAGTGATGCTCTACTGTTTGGTCCCGCATGGCTGCTTTCAGGCTTCCCAGGGCACATGAATGGCTCTGTGTCCAATATGATTCGAGAGGCCTTTGGCCAGTCTCAGCACCCATGCCTCTTGAGGTGTCTCGTCCTCTGCTCGGTAGGTGGCTCCTCTGCCACACCGTTCAGGGAAGCCTTCAGGCCGTGGAAGGAAGCAGAATCCTTTCCCTGCAGAGAGCTCTCTCCAACACTAAAATCACAAGAATGACTTACTGTAAGCAAACCATTCCTCTGTCAGCCTCAAGACATGGGCATTTCTGAGCAATATTACAGAGGCTCTACAATGTTTACAATGTGAATGGTCTGAAGAAGTTTCTGCTTTTTGAACCACTACTATATATCTGGCAATGTGCCGGATGGAAAACGATGCTAAGATTTTAAAGGGTACTGAGAACCCCATAGTTCCATGAGACCAGGATCAACTTCTAGCAATCCCAGCACCAAAAGGTTGTGGGTAGCAGATTGGGAGGGGAGGGGCTGAAGGCAGTATCAGAGACTCAAGCAAAGCACGGTTCTTTCGTTTGTTCATCCCTTCACCCATCCCGGGGGAAACATATTTTGAAACACAGAAACCAGATCCTCACTGCGTTTATTCCATGCGATTCCTGTCTAGATTTTACCCACCCGAAAACTCATCTTTAATTTAAAACTTTTATAAGAATAAGCATACATGTGGGAATTAGCAACAGAAAACACCCATGGCACAGGACTGTACAAGCAGCTCTGCTTGAATGGGATCTAGAGAGTCCTAGCAAGTGGGCCACGCACAAAGGATGGGCATGAAACCAGGCCAGGAGCCTCAAGTCATCCGGCAACTTCTCCTCTTGTCTGGCTTCCGGAGGTTTCCTACATGGAGCCCTTTCTGTAGCTCTTGGCCAAATAAGTTAAGCACGCCTTGGCAGAGGAAGATGGAGCCAGCAGCACTTACAGCACTGGACGTTAGTGGAAGTAAATGTCCAGTTCAGACCTTTCCACCAGGAGAGCACCAGAGCTCCACCGCACCTCTTGGTTCCTGGACATACTCTACACTTCCTCGATTGGAAGCAGGCTGAGGCTGGGTGATCACAGGCATACTCTACACTTCCTCGATGGCTCTGGAAGCAGGCTGAGGCTGGGTGATCACAGCCGTTGGACACTTGGGGCCAGTGTCTTCTGGCAAACACTTGGCACAGGTAGGTTTTGCAAAGCAGACTTGCAGATGGTCCCATAGGACTGAGAGTAACTGCCCAGGAAGGCTTTGGGGTCCCCAGCCGCCCCCACATTTGCTGTACCCTGGAACATCTTTCTGTTGGGTTTTGGAAAAGGATGGACTTCCCTGCCATGGGAATCGGAGCTCCTGGGTTTCTGCAAAAAGAAACAGGGAATGCGGATGAAACAGCTGATGGTTAAGCAACCAAGGAAGCAGGTGGGGGAACCTACCTACATGTTGGTGCAAAGGAGGACCACCTTTTCCCAAACGACTGCTGGTCCTCCATCTAACCCTTGGGACACATTGAAGACCACAGTGAAATGCTTCTCTTGAAACTCGCCACTCCAGCATCTCTCTTGCCCATTCCCATCCAAGAAAACTGGTGCCAGATGGGTGTTAAGTAAGAGCCACAATGACATGCCTGCAGGCTCAGTCAACAGCCCATCAAACTGAGACATGCAACCATCATGGAGAAACAGCTTCACTCACAGGCCCAAAGGCTGCCTTGCTGGAGGAGGAGTCCTTCCTTATCAGGTGGTGATTCAGAGCTGCCTCCTGGGCTTGGCCAGACAATGAGAGAGATCTGAGGTTGGGTGAAGTCTGGCTTTGTCCCTCTGTCTCATCTGGCCCCTGCAGAAGATTACAAGTCACCACTGAGCCCACCCACCCCCACAGACAGAGAAGAGCAAGAGTGTGAGAGAGAGAGGTGAGCAGGCAAGCAGCAACAGTAGCTGTAGTGAAACAAGACCTCTACCCCATGGAAACTATACGTCATTGGAAAAGAATGGAGCAGGCATTTGTCTGGCATTTCCTTTATCCAATGGTGCTTTTGGACTAGAAGGACCAGTCGACAGGATGCTGTTATTTAAATTACAGTGGTGCCTCGCTTAGCGAGTGCACCGTATAGCGATGTTTCCGTATAGTGATCCCTTTTTCGGGATCGCTATACAGAAACATACCCGATCTTCGCAATGGGGAAAACCCGCACTGCGAAGATCGGGTATTGCGGCGGCCATTTTGGAGCCGCCGAACAGCTGATCGGCAGTTCCAAACTGGCCGCCGGAAGCCCTTAGCGAAGGCGCGAAAATGGCTGCCGGCACCTGGAATCCTCGCTGAACGGGTAAGTAACAAAGGTATTGGAACCTTTGTTCC